CAAATATTCTAATCTAGTAGTTAATTGAATAGAAAGACATACGATCGTTTCAGCTTGTCGGCTAGATTTCAGATTCTTTTAGTTCATTCAAAAAGATGCAATTGAATAATGTTTGAACAGTTTGCTTTGCCTTTCCAATTTGCTCTTTTCGGATTTTCAATTGTTGTTAAAGAATTATGTCAGAAGGATATTTGAATAATTAAGAAACCCGAAAAATCAAAACTATGCGACTATACGGTTTAACTGATCAAATAAGTTTACAAAGAGTGATATTCTGTCAAACATTGGCACAAACTAATTGAGTTTGTGATATGTTTCAATTTTATGACATGTACAGAGTAAAAAAGAATGGCTACTAGGTCCGTATAAAGTGTGACACTATCAAGAACGAAAAAAACTAATGGAATCTACAGAAGAAGAAATGATTTCAAATATATCTTCCTTATGAATCTGTTGCCATGCGTTGTTTCCTTACCGGAAAAGTTAAGCCACGGGTGGCGAATATCCGCTTGTGTAAGTCCTGGGTGGTCAAGAAGTTAAGGAGAGAGTTCGAGCTCCTCCACAGTCTATCGGGTCTCTGTCAAGAGACAAAGAGATTGTTTATATGGAAGTGATGACACCAGTTTGGTTTGTGCATAGACATGAGCAGTTTGGTTCGGTTGCGTTTCTTAGGACTAGACGTTTGTCCCGGTTACTCATTAGCTTGATGAGCGGTAGCTTCTGTGATACTTGACGCCAGATTTCCTTTACTGCTCCATTAGGATTATCATAGTCAAAATACCGTCGTACCTGTGCATCATTGGAGTATGAGAAAATGTCACCAAAATATGTAAGAATCGATTATTATAAAGAGGTTGGATGGTTGGAGAAGGTACCGATTTCATCTCTCTCTGATACTCCAGAATCTTCTTGGTTTCTATTTTCCGCAGCAACTTTACAAGAAATCCGGGCTCCAGAGCTGCATTGGCCTCAACAAAAATCGAGAACTTTCTGTAATCTATAACATCTTCGAAAGGTAATTCGATGCTATCGCTTACAATCACGGGCACACACAAACTGACTATAGAGTCAAAGAGTCTGCAGGCAGATGGGGTGTCACCCGCAGGATTTAAACAGAACTTTGAAGTGTGCATTCCTTTCGTAGCAGCTCGCCGGTTCTCTCTGGACTGAGTTCCATGTTTTATTGTCACATCTTCTTCCTTTTCAAGAACTTGGAAAAGCAAATCACGAACTTTTCCACCCTGAAGACACCCCAAAGAAGCAGTCAGAAGAAGAACAATATTGTCCTTTTCAAGAAAGACAGAACTCGATGCGATTTTGAGCCACCAATGCTATATATCTTTTCCTATAACAATAGCATTTACACAGGATATTACAAATTATCCTTCACCTAAGAGTCAAAAGAATTGTATGTAAACAAACAACTCTGTTTCTTATAGGCTTTTCAGCTAGATTATGTCCCTTGGTAACGAGTTCCCAAGAAAACCTTTTCTGCAACATTTTATCAAAAGAGACTCTTTGTAGCTTGTAATTCAGATACAACTATGAAATCACAGAGCTCCCTTTTAGATCAAAAGAAAAGCTATAGTTCACTATTCAACATAACTACCAGTCTGCTAAAAGTCAACAAGTTTCAGACATTATACAAATCGTTATTCGTTATTCACACTTCCTCTAGAATCATACCAACATTTCCTTTCTATGCACCCATACTAGCTAAACAATCTCTTTATCTTGAGCTCTAATCATTCACATTTCCAAGAACTAAAATAAGCTATTGTAAAAGCTCGAAACTTACATCTTTGCGATATCGATTTCCCATGAAGAAGAGTAATGTGTTGCGAGCCTCAACTCCAATTTCACCATTGAAGAGATTGACTCTATGAGAGTAAGGTATCACCACATCTTTAACGAACGACCCTTGATCAGGCCTCAGGCGCCCGAAATCCGCCACGAGCAGAACTGCGTTCTTGACCCGGTCCAAGATCCGATACAACGCATTCGGATCTCCGGCGGGTATCACGTGATCTCTCCCTTCGTTCCTCCTCCACCACTCTTGTCCCTCAAGCCAATCCATCAAACCGTCCTGCATCTTCTCGTCGCTGTAACCGGATCCGGGTTCGACGGGTCGACCCGCATTGACAATTAGGCTGAGAGAAGAGAACACCGGGACGTAGAAGAGATCAGCGTCGGCAGGATCCAAGACTCGAACGATCGGAGACCCGGATCGATCCACTTCGGGTCTGTTCAGATCCGAGAAGAGATACCATTCGTGCATATGCTGATGACCCGGATACTTGAGAGTGGTGACGTCAGCGACGGGCTTATTGGGTCCGCCGCGAGCGATGCCGTGCTGCTCAATAAGACCGTAAGTGAATCTCCGGGGGAGATCGTACATGTAAACCTTAACCAGAGGCAGAGTCGGAGCTCGTCCGTCGTCATCTTCTTCGCGGATAAGCTGGCGAGGGAGATCGGATGAGGAAGGGAGAGAGCGACTTACGGAGGCGTTGAGAAGAACATAGATGGCGATAACGGAGACAACGGCGATGGCTGCTCGTTTGAGTAGGGAAGATTTACGCGCCATGGGAGGAAAGAGAATGAAGAAAGTTAGGGTTTTTTTTCAGGTGAGAGCTAAGCTCAGGAGTCAGACTAATGACGAAGATGACTGTAGTAATCTAGGTTCGTTACTTTTGCTTCACCTCTTCCCCAACAGATATTCTATTTAAAAAAAAAAATGTTTGTGAATATATTATCTTGTTTTTGCTAATCAAATTTCTGCTAATCAAATTGTCAAATATTATCTTGTTTTTTCTATAACAATGTGCAACTAACCAGACAAAAATTAATAATAATCACGGAATAATGAAAGGGAGAAAATTTTTTTATGCATAATGGATTTGGGAATTACAAGTCCAATGATCAAAGACTCATAATAAACATCATAACAAGTGTGTTTTGCGGGATTTGTACAAATCTAATCACACTCTACATAATTTGTTTATGGTAAAAGAAACTAAAATCGTCTCTTTGGTAGAATGTGACAGTGTTGTTCTTTCTTTACTTAGTTATGCTGTTTATATGAGATGGGACCAGATCTTGACACGGCAAACCTTGGAAGTGGACTAGGACCTGTGCTGTTTGATCCCGACCCTCCTTTGTGGCTCGAGCTGTAATCCAACGGTCCAGAACGACGAGAACTACCCCT